CTGGTTTCCAAGGCGTGACGTAGAATTTGCTCTCTTTTACGTCTGAACTCGTCGAAGGCAYATCGTTTTTGTTATTTGAAAGAAAGTCAGAGAGCCTGGAACTGAAAAGATTATGATATTTCTTGCAATTACTATGTCTACTAAGCAGTTTTCGGTAATGCAGTAATGTGATGGTGATATTTCTGCAAACAAGACCCAAATCTGAGGATTGCAATAGTCCCCTTCAAGGTTACCTGCGCCATCTTGAAAGGTAGGCGTGCCTTTACATCGAAGCGAGACAACCGTTGAGCGTGCAATGATAGATACCTGGGAATAATTGAGTGTCTGTAGGTGTGAAAGAAGGTTTCTATCATTGCACGCTCAACGGTCATCTCGCTTCGATGCAAAGGCATGGCTACCTTTCAAGATGGCGCACGTAACCATGAAGAAGACTATTACTCAAATGACTACTATACTGAGCAGTTTTCGGTGATGCAGCTGACGATATGCAAAATAAAGTGAAAATAACACATTCGAGGTTTCACTATATATTGGAAGTGAAAAAAGGTATGTTACTACATAATTTGATTTCAGCTACACTGGTATTAATTACCTGTTGATCATACTTCTGTATAATGCATATCTACGAAGTGAGCTTGCAGTACAATCGTCCAGCTCTCCCGCCATTTTGCGAATAACTCTTTGCTCACTTAGATATGTATTCAAAGACTTTCGTCTTGGTGCGCATGTCTTAGTTGCCCTCTGTTCATTCTTGTTATTCTTTTGTAATTGTGTCTTGACGAGATTTTCATTTTTATCTTTTGCTTTATCGGAGCAGTCCGTTTTTGTTTTAACGTCAAATTCTTTGCTTGACTTCTTCCTTGTAGCCGTATTTGAGCTAGATGTTTTCTTGGGATTTGATCCATTGGAGCGTGATTTAGATGCTAGCCTCCTTCCTGATGGAGTCTTCTTAGCATGTGTTGACGCCGATGTACAAGTTACAGTACATTCATCTTTCGAGTCGTGGAAACCGGATCCCTGCTCATGAGCAAAGCCAGATGCAGATTTTGCGTATGGCATTCCAAAGGATGTAATTTTCTCAGGTATATATTCATGGATGTCGTTTTCTTCAGAGGTTTCGTGTTTCGGAGCTCGCATCCTTGACAAAGATCTCGAAGTTCTCACAACACGTGAGGATTTACAAAATGACAGCCTGGATGAAGCCGAGGACGACATCCCGCATGAATGTTTCAAATTATGCATCTCCGATGATGATTTTGAAGATTTTATTCTCGACAAGGGTTTAGAGTCCGTTTTAACTGTAGATCCAGCAAAATGCTTGGATTTCTTATTATGAATCCCAGAAGAAGACTTTGCAGATTGCACAGCAAAAATGTTTGTTTTAGTGTTTGTGTCTCGACCTGATTGACGCCTTCGAGAGTCCTTTGAAACGTCTGCTTGTGAAACATCCTCAAAACTCTGTACTTCTAAAACAAGATCATGTCTTGTCGAATTTAATGTGTCTAACGCCGATAAAGATTTTGGGCTCTCCTCTTTCATCTGCGTATGCTTTGAACGGCGCGTTTTTGATAAATGTCTCTCTTTCGTGGTTAACATCGTTGGAGCACTAGCAGTTTCTTCAAGCCTATTAAGGAAAGAGTTTTTGTCTTGCTTTTCGAGGAAATCACACTTATCAAATAAAGACGAGTCCTCGCAGCCATCKTGTTTGGAATTAGTTGCCTTTGCACTCTTAGGACGAGATTTTTGTAGAGTTTTATTTCTATTTTTTGAAGAGTTCTTGGAAGGTTTGTTAGACATAATTATCCTTCGTAAAGGACTAGGAACCTAAAAGAAAATATTTTTGTATTTGATAATGAAGTGATTCTTTAGTTAAAGTGTGACTCCCAGACTAAGGAATGATCGTGATTGCTCATTAATGAAAGTACGTTAATTGAATATTTTGATACAGATTCCAGCAAGAAATACAGTATGCAAATACTAAAAACGTGAAACCGTACTATAGTTAATCACGCTCATATGAATAGTGATGTTTTGACAAAAAAAAAAAAAAACAACAACAAAAAAAAAACAACGACAACAACAACAACAGCAAAGGAATGTGCAATAGTAATACAGCAATAATATGCTTAGTAACAAAAGCAATAGAGCAGTTTAAATCTCGTGAATTATGCTGTGATTATATTGCACATCGAGAAAGCCACATACGTATTGTTGTATCTGCGCTCGTTCTTTCCCCAAATTTGGATTAATGAATTMCATATTTGGAAACTGAGCCGACTCGCGCTCGTGAACCAGTGAAAACATAATTCAAAAATTTTGGTGAATCAACCATGAATAATTTTAACAATTTATTCCATCATCATCCTCAGGGAACACAAATACGTTACAAAAACCAAAACGCATTTAAACTGAAATCAAACTGTTTTTGCGCGCGAAATAAAAACAGTGCGCGCGCTGTTACAAATGTTCCCAGATCCCCCATTATCATCATTATAGAAGGCCAAATAATAAACTGCCCTCATAAAAACACGCACCTAGCGGGCCGATAATGATTTTGGCGGGCTGCAAATCCTTTCGTATCAGCCCTGTCGCTGATTGGCYCAACGAGGGTCTTACGATCGTGCTCGACCAATCAGATTTCATTGTGATAACAATTTGAAAGCGCGCGAGTTGTTCTTCGCTGCGACTCAAGTCACAGGTAGCCCAAGCTCTACACTTTTTATCTTGTTAAGCTATGGAAAACATGTAATTTAGACCGTAAAATCGCGCTTTGGATGGAATAGCCTGATGACAATCTACTTTCTAAACATTCCTGTTTAATATGACATCAAGGTATATTTTATTAGGGAACAACATCAAAGTTTTCTGCGAATTTTTGTCAGCTTTATAGCTTACGCGTCCTGAATAACGAGCAGCGCTAAAAGTTTTCACCTGTTTTCTTTTTAATTTTATCATCTATTATAGCCTAACTGAAGATCAAAAATGAATTCAAAACGGATAGAAACGGATACCAGAACATCCCGATGATTTGTCACAAGAAAAAAACGGACTTAGTAGGGGTGGGTGCTTACCAAAATGCCACGATATGTGAAACGAGCCTCTCCGACCGCCGGTTTTCATTGGAAATCTTGAATTTTTGAAGGGATATCGTTTCATCGTGAAAAGCAGATTAGTCAAGAGGCTGTATTAGGTATTGGGCAAAGATTTTTTGAAAGTCTTTTGACGTGACAAGTGATTCTGACTGAACCAGGAGCGATTTTGCGAGATTTTTTTGAGCTTGGCCAGCGGACTACTGTGCAACCTTTACTAAATTTAAGTAACTTACGGAGGTACGTTACAAAATACCGAAAAAACTCGCTAAATAGTCGTCCAAATGACCTGAAACTTCACACGAAGAGCAAGGACAATAAAAGAGACAACGTAGGATGTTTTTTTAATTCTTTTTTTACATTTTCATCAAATTCAGCTAAAAGCCGCCAAGTGTAGAGCTTGGGCTACCTGTGCTCAAGTTTGAGTTTTGAAACGATTTATCACTCAAAAATATGGCAGAATATCCTAATTTCGACCTGGAAGTACCAAATAGTCAAGGTTCTGACTTAGGCCAAGAGCAGCTTGACGAAATAGAAGCGAAAGCTCAAGCCAAAAACACAAAGAGAGCAACTGAATGGGGCTTGAAAAAGTTTTTCAAGTGGAGTTAAAAACGACAAATCAGTGTTGGCTTGAAAACTATTGCTCCAAAAGAACTTAACGAAGTTCTAAGGAAGTTTTACGCAGAGGTTAAAACAGAAAAAGGACAGCCCCTGACCCCAAGTGCATTGACAGGAATAAGAGCAGCCATACATCGCCATTTAACATCGGCTCCGCTAAGACAGCGGCTTCATGTCTGCTAACAAAATGTTTGAAGCGAAAGCAAAGCTGTTCACGAAAGAAATGAATGTAAAACCAAAGCATAAACAATCTATCGATTCTGGAGACATGGAATTTATTGAATAAAGTTGAGTGAAATTCATTTATTTATTGATGATAATGAGAAAATCATTTATTTGTTGATGATAATGAGAATAACATAACTTTTGTCGGTCATATTGTTTATTTGCGGCCCTTGTAGCGTCATTTGCACCCTCGCTTCGCTCGGGCGCAAATGACGCTACTCGGGCCGCAAATAAACAATATGCCCTCCAAAAGTCATGTTATTGTCCTATTATGATCACAAAATACAACATCATTCTCGATATGTTGCCCGTAGAGGTTCCTCAAAACTTCGTAGGTATCAATCACTGATTCATACTGAATTATGCGAATTCCTTTGTTTTGTGTATTGATTAATCTGCGCTATTTACCGATATCAAGCACTGTTTGGTTGTTTAGTTATTGCTTTTACGCTTTCAGTATTTGCTCTAGTACTTTCACACTAAATTAATCAAAAGTGAAATCAAACTTACTTGAGCTCTGAAATCTTGTTTCTTCGCAATAAGACATGTCCTTATAACGATGTTTTCAATCAATTATAGCGTAATTTTCATTATTGAAGCAAAACAGGCGCTGCACGGTTAACGTATTTGAGACAAATGTCTAGAAGAAGCATTGTTTCGTCAAAGCGCGTGCCATTTTATTGCAATTTGAATAAAGAAGAAAGCGCGCGCGTTTGGTGGCAATATTTTGCACGCGCACAGGTGAGTTAATGGAAAATTAAATGTTTAACAGAACATTTTTTCAATGTCAATGAACTATAATGTCTGAAACCTAGAAATATCTAAAGTACGAAACTCTACAATTTTTCTTTTAATTCTAGACCAGTTCTGACAGATCTTTCTTCATTCAAAAATTCATTCAAAAATATTTGAAGCGCACAGTTTCAAAACGCTGTAATTTCGAACTAAATTAAAAGGAACTTCGGAACGCTGCCTGCTCGCCTGCGACATTTGCAAATGCGCACATATAACTCGGACAACGTATATGTATATAAGCCCATCCATTAACCCAAGTAACTGTAGTCGTCGAGGTGTTATTTTTTTAATACACTGATAAGAAAACATGTGCACAATTTAAAGCGTATTACGTTAAATAACGGTGTATTTGTATAGGTAATAGCATGTTTTGTAGTGGTATTTGGGATAGATACCACGCTTGATGTTTCAAAATTGTCGAACAAAATTTTACGAGCGAAGCAAATAAAATGTTGAATAAAATTGTGCAATTTAAAATGCCATTATCAAGGATGAATACCACTCCTCAAGACAATCAAATTGCATAATTTTATTCAACCATATTCTCACGCAGGTAAAGGAGTACTAATCTATCTTCTTAAAAGTTTAGTTTTCACATGTGCCATTTCAGGTAATGATTTCTTTTGTTCTACGATTTTAAATCCTGCATTGATTTTTGGTAAAGTTGTATGACTGAGATGCGCATGACATAGATATATGAAATTCACAGCGYGTGAATAGGCAATCTGAAGCGTCGTCGATTTGTTTTATACAATAAAGCATGATGGAATTTGCAATTTGCATGGTGTCTAAAAAATCTCCTTAAAAGCCTTTTTATATTTTCTTTATAGAAATGTCACAAGTACTTCTATTTCTGCAGAGAAAAAGCGAAAACAACTAAAATGAGAACTTCTATTGGTCACGAAAAAGTGCAAAAAGGACTACATTTCCGAACCTTCCTTGTTGCACAAAATGTCATCTCTGCAAATTGCCTTTTCATTTTCGTTTGGCATCTGTCTGTGTAGCCGTTTTCACTGTTGACTTATTGTTATAAATTAATATTTTGTTTTATTTATTTTTCTATTTTTTGCCCAATTGTATAATTTTTTGTCCCATACTTTCGTGAACGATTATTGTTATTATTATTGTTATTTTCTAAGGGGTCTGACCCCCATCGCTTTACTAATTTACTCCCTTATTGTGATTGTTTCTACTATGATTGACATCAGTTATCAACGTTGTGCCAGTGGGTTTCATTGACGTTTTTGACATAACATGGCGTTACATCTCATTCAGTAGTTTCATTGAGGCATGAAGCTGGAAAAAAGAATTTGAGAAGAATGAGAATGAAAGAGTGATTTCTTGATATTTGTTGGGATAAAAGTTATTTGACATCCTCTGAAATGAATAAGTGATTGATAGTGGTAGATAGTATCAGCATGCGTGAGCATGAGTCGTTCCAAAAATACAGAAATTAAASGGAATTATTATCGTAAACAAGTTGTGGTAAATATAATCAGCTGTCTGAAAGACCAGGTCGTATGCACTTGGTTAGTGTCTACAACTTGTTTCCAACAACGCTTTACCACAACGTCAAAACAAACAACGAATCAAGCTCTGAATTGAAGTCACATTACAATGGAAGAGCGTCGACCAATCAGAATCCAGGATTTTAAATGAAGAGCATCGACCAATCAGAATCCAGGAAATTAAATGAAGAGCTCCGAATCCAGGATATTTTAATATCACTTAAAAGTAATTATTTTAAAAGTCAATACCATTGTAATTAAAGGTTAGTATATTCACCAAACTGAGGTTGAATACATAAGTACTGATAAACCAAATATAGACTTACTCTTTTAATCAACTCATGGTCATCAGACTTCTCCGCTAATTTGACGGCTTTTTCGTAAAGGTCGCGTGCTTCATGTGGTCTACCAGCCAATGAAACGGCCTTTGCGTACGATTCTAGGCATGTAACGTCACTGGGGTCGAGGTCAAATAAATTCTTGAAGTAAGCCGCTGATTTTAAATAGTCTTTATACGACAAATGTGCAGAAGCAAGATTGTGTAAGATAATCTGGAATGAGATTMATAAACATACTTTTAAATAAAGCTCCAATGTAAATAATCAACAATGACGTTCTCCGTACTAGTTTTTAAGTAATTAAAATTCATAATTCATTCATTGGTAATTCAATATCAACTTAATTTTGAATTTTTCGCACATATATTATTAGATAACACAATTTAATGTTCTTTTTTTTGTAAAATTGAAATGAAGCATATGTTGCATTACATATCATGTCAACACAATTTTGAATGATATTTCCTGCTTTGTTCCATATTGTCATATATTTGTTTCAAGGATAAAGTGCGTCTAATCTACAGTTTCACTCACAGTATCTTTAGGGAATTTCACATGTGCTATTTCCAAAAGCTTGATTCCTGCTCTCTTATGTTTATTTTCTACAAATGCTTGGTAGGCATTGTTGTAATGCTCGACACCAAATTCTCCCTTTTCAAGAACATGAAGCATTTCATCTGCTTTGCCTTTCTCTGAGTAGTGAACTTGTAATCGACCAAGTATCATCACACTGTTGGGAAATCTGAAGGAAAAGAAAATACTTAGAAAGAAAATAAAGAAAAGCAAATTTACAAGACAAAATTGCTCTATTTCATAAGACGCGCACGTCATAGTATCTTTACATCGGAAAACAATGCTAAACAAATAGTGGAAATTCTGACCCATTTATATTGTCTGCTAATGAATCGCCCTTCCCTTCATGTATTACGCGTCGCTTGAGAGAAGTGACTGGGAACGAGTCTGATACATAGTTATACATTCCCGATTGTCCCCTGTGTAACTAGGCTTACTTCTCAATGCCATGATATATCGTTTGTTCCCTTGGTCTTTTTGGTCGCTTGTTGGTAGGAAGCTCACAGTCCAGGTAATCAAGTGCTGCAAAATCACGATCAGTCGCAAAGTTTGCCTTAACAATCCGACGAAATAATAAACGAGCCTCGTCGTTCTGGCCTGAGTTTAAGTAGTGGTCGGCCATTACAGCATTCATTCGTTGGATCGAAGTGTCYATGCGGTCAGTGGCTTCTTTCCTTTCACCTGWTAATGACGACAATAACGCGATTGTTATTATTTTAGTTTGAAATTTTTGGGACTTGAAAAGTTCTTTAGATAAAAATAGCCTTCCTTAGAATAAAACGACTTTTCTCCTTAGGGGCAATTCACAATCCAGCACCAACATTCGCTAATTCACTTCCAATTGACCGATCCCGATTCATTGYCCAACCTCCCTAGTTACTGTTGCTACGTCGGACAACCGAAAATATTCCTTTGTTATATAGAGCATGTAATGCCCATTTCTGCGATATGTAGGGACTTGCGTTGTGTTTAATTATTTTAAGATTGAACATTTTCATCAGGAAAAGATAATGAATTCAGATAATAAATATAGATAATGTATTCAGAAAAAAATCTTCCATTTTGTGTTTGTTGCTCGTACAGTTTAGAGAAACTGCTCCTGGTTTGGTGAATAGTCTATGCGAAGAATGGATTGRTTAATTTAGAAAGGTGGTTGCATTTGGCAGAAGAATGAGTTTGTTTGGAAGGGTTTCGAAAATGATAACGAGGTAGCTCATTGTTAAATGTTGTAAGAGACGCGGAAAGGAGGAAATACATACTGTAAAATAGTAAATTGCAGTACAAATAACATTGAAAACCATGTCATACCGGCTCTCTTAAAATAAGGATGGGCCTCCTGTGGTTTCTGCAGGAAGAGGTATGCCAAAGCAATGTTCTCCAATGCATTCAATGTATTGATGTGATCCAGACCAAAGCTTTCCTAGCATTCATAACAAACAGAGTAAGAATTAATCTGTCTGTAAAATATTCATAAAAGATGAGTGCCATTGAAGTCATGTGTTACGCCTCAGCTATTATCTTAAACATTTTTAAAACTATTTGAAAAAAACAACAACAAAAAAAAGATATTATCAAGAAGCCCTACTGGTTGAGTGGAAATATTTTACAGTGACGATACTCTTACCGGGAGGGAAACACACAAAAACTATAGCAAGAGAGATGGAACTCATGGTGACTTTTACAAATCGAATTGTAATGTTTTCATGCTGTTTCCAATCTTGAACAGTAAGCATTGTGGAATATAATTGTATATTTACCAAATTGTCTATAAAAAAAATTATTCCAAGGCCTATTTGCATCCGAAAACCCTTGCGATCGCTTGCTTTCTAAAAAAAGGTCGGCTGTTGAAAGTTCAAAGGCGCCGGCTTTCTGTATTGGAGCAAAAATCACACCAAGGTTCTCTGATCTTTTAAAAGATCTCCCTATTTAGTCAAGTAAATACCTCATATATATCTGCCGCTCTTTTGGAAATTTCAGCTGCCTTTGCGGGATTTGTGTTAAGACATAATGCAGCGTAGCTGAGTAATGTCTGTCCAACCTCGTGATGGTTCAAACCGTAAGCATTCTCTCGTATTTGCAATGCTCTGAAAAAAAATCCCACAAATATTATACAGATATCGCTGGAAAAAATCGCGCGCTTTAAAGGTTGTAAATTTAATGTAAATATGATGTAAGTGTCCAAAATTCCGTAAATTTATTGGAAACCATTTACATCAAATTTACAGAATTTTGGACACTTACATCATATTTACATCAAATTTACAACCTTTAAAGCGCGCGATTTTTTTTCCAGTGAACCAAAGGTAATGGTCGTAATACTGCTTTTTTGAATTCAAAGCGAATAACCGTTGTAGTTTTATTTGACAGAAGATTCCCTAACGCAAAGAACACAAAAGAAAGCATGAGAAAATGTTGTAAGTACAATTAATAATAATTACCAGAAGTTTCATATCTTAATACAGGATTGGTCCCAACTCGGGGAACATGCAAATTTTCAAGGCTATTGTAATAACGACATTTTCTAGTGATTTCTTTTGAGTTTGATCAGTTGTTTGCGCAAAAGAACCTGGTGTCATATAAAGCAGCGTTTTTTATCGCTATGAATTCGAAACTGGAGTATTCATGCAGAGCCGTGCGCATCGGGTGGTTCCAGGCGTTCAATAATCCCGCCTCGGTAGGCAAAGTCATTGAAATACGAGGCTTAATTACCAAATCAAAAGACCGTCTTTTTCGGATAGTCCAAAAGTTTGTTCAGTGTAAAAAAAAAAAAAATACTCGTGCACGTTTTTGCTGTCAATCACCTCCTCCACAGTCTTGAAACCCCAAAACAAAAAACCTCCGTCATAAAATCCCTGCACTGACTCCCATAAAATTTAAATAATATTAATTATTACAGTAGTTTTCATTTCAGATTGAAAGTTTAAGCAATCGTGAAATCGTCGAATTATTTATTTGAAACTGGTACCTAAGGTATAGGGGCTCAGCTTCCTCGTATCTTTCAAGTCTACGATAAGCCATGGCAAGGTTAAGTATTGTTCCACCAACGTCCGCTGGCAATCTTCCAAAGTATGCCTCTTCATATATCTAAAACSACATATGACAATAAACTAATTCCAGGTCTCCTTGAAAACCTTGTTCTGATAGACTTAACGATCATAGACTGCAAGAATGCTCGGGAGGCAAAATTATAAAGATATGAATATGAGGACGGCATGGCACTATGAGATACATGACATAGAAATAACGGTTAAAGTAGTGGTGCTTAGAAGGAGGTTACTCCGGTAGAAATATCCTTGTAAATAAGATTTCGGAACAAAATTAATTTCCGACCTTGCTGGGACTCGAACCCATAACCTGCTCCGACCTGCTCCCAGYCTGACATTGTAGTTCAGCTGGTAGAGCATCGGTAGTACAAACCCGAGGTTTGTGGGTTGGAGTCCCAGAGAGGTCGGAAATTTTTTTTCCCGAATTTATTCCCAAGGGTTTTTCTCCTAGAATTGCCTTTTTCTAAACACTATATCTTTCCGTTATTTCTGTAAAATTATAGAGAGAAAGAAAAGTGGTAATTAAAGTCTGGTTAGTTCCTCTCTCCTTTGCCGTCTTTACTCGAACATTCTCGCTGTCTGTCTTTCCATGTCATTATATCAGACCAGTCTTTTCGATGAGATATGAATGCTCATCATTACTAGCCTCATCATACAGAATAGTGCATTCATATCATAGTAGTTATGTTGTATACCTCTAGAGACTCAGTGAATACTTTGACGGCATCATCCCACTGGCCTAGAAGATGGTAGACTGCACCCTGGTTGTTAAGTATGTCAGCGACCTCTTGTGGTGGGGAATTGCCTTCGCGGTGTTTATCTATTGATTGCTGGTAATAATCCAATGCCTTAAAAAGTAACAACAACAATATTGAATAAATAGTTTGGAACTAATAGAGAGATGTTCTATAGGGAGCTAACGGGACTATTCCGATCTTTTTGACTCAACTGGCATCACTTACGAGCTTTGTTTATGGCCTAGTTTGAAGGCTAGTTGACTTAACACAGAGCACTACATAAGTTTCAACTATTTGAGTAAGCAACAATCATGACAGGTAGCACTGCTGTATTACTTAAAGTGCACATGACACCTTTTAGAAAAACACTTTTATCCGAAGGGTAACACGCTGCCGAGTACGCCTGTGAAGAAAGAAATAGATTTTGAATTATATTTTCCGAGTTATAGACACTTGAAAATTGAAAATGCAAATGAAGTGACGTCAACTAAGGAACTGATCCAGACTTTTTACATTGTTTGCGCTATGCTGTTCTTGGTTGAAGAGCTCAAATCATCAATCATAGTAATAATTGAGAGCTGAAAATGCTTTTTTCCAGTGTAACAAAAAGAATAACGTCCTCTTTCATGATTTTGTATATTAAATCATTCCTTAGTAGACGTCACTTCATTTGCATTTTCCTATTTCAATTGCCCATAACTTAGAAAATACAATTCAATCAATTTATTTCTTCAAAGATGTAATTAGCAGCATTTTCTCATTTGGATGAGAATCAATTTCTAATGATGTCATGTGCACTTTAAGGAAAGCCCTCGGATTAGGAATGTTCTCCACACAAAGAATTTGGAAATGGAAGCATGGATTGGTAACCAAAAAAAGGGCACGCCTGGAGTTTTCTGTTTTTTGACATTGAATGCCAAAAAAACAGAAAACTCCAGCCGTGCCCTTTTTTGATTACCAATCCATGCTTCCATTTCCAAATTCCTTACAAAAAAACATATTCTCGAGGAATCAGATTCGTTAATAATCTATGCATGATACGTCTTAAAAGTATGTTAATTGGCCATTTGATGAACAAAGGGCAGTTCCATCACTAGTGAGGAAAGCGTTAGCTTCGAACCTGCAGGCTCGTCTGATCATTAAGGCCCGTTTAAGCTTGTGATTTTTGCAGCGCGAATAATCGCCACTTTGCTATTGCGCAACTCAAATGGTACGTGTAAACAGCCCTGCAATCATTGCGACGATGGAAAATCGCCGTGAAGTTGTAGTCAATTTTTAAGCATGTTTGAAACTCAGGCGATGGTCGCGTGACGATCGCCGCGAGGATCTCTCTGCAAAATCGCAAAATCGGGCCTTTAGGCTACGTTACAGAGAAACTTGAAAAATCAAATCACTTTGCAGCTAGACAATCGCGGATGGAACTGGGAGTACAGTAGTACTTATAGACAAGCGTCTTAATCGCTCGGATCTTGTTCTCTTTGATCTAATTTCTTTTCTTTTCTAATTCTTTCGAAAAAGAAATGAAATATACTGTACCTCTTGACACTTTGATTGTCTGAACATMAGAACACCGAGACCATTAAACGTTTTAGCTAGTTGTCTTTTCCCTTCATCAAATACCGTTTCGTATCTGAAAGTCAATGGTAATGGTTATTCTTATAATAATCTCCTTCATGGTTCCCTGCGCCATGCGCCGTGCCTTTACATCGAAGCGAGACAACAGTTTGGCGTGCAATGACGATAGATAACTGTGAATAACTTTCTGTAGGTGAGAAAGAAGGTTTCTATCACTACGCGCTTAGCGTTCGTCTCGCTTCGATGCAAAGGCACGGCTACCTTTCAAGATGACGCAGGAAACCCTGAAGAAGACTATTACTTGAACACAAGTCCGATCGTGTATATTCCAAGAAAAAAAATCATAAAGAACATATCAAATAGCTTACTTCTGCTCAAGCTCCAATACTTCTTTGTGTAGTTGCTCTCCCTTGCTGAATTCCTCTGTGTCTACATACATACAGGCTAGAGTATTGGCCACATTAACATAGTCCAAGGCTACGCCAGGATCGTTTTTTATTTCATCAGCAGTATGTACAGTTTTCTGTAAGACAAAACACGATCAAAGATTATTAAACAAGTTATATCATGATATTTGTTATAGTACACGGTTTTGGTTTGGTCGTTATCATATTACACATGCAAGAAGGACGCCATTTAATCATTTGTGCACGCCGATTGGTCAGAAACAGTACTCGCGCTGTAAAATACTCGTTTAATCGTTTTAACAATATTGTCTTCGCTTCACAAAAGAACAGTGCTTCAGTACTTTGATAGATACAGAGTAAACGACTAAACGTCTCATGGCATACTTTTTCCTTCTAATGATATTTTTTTACGTCAACTTTAATTGTGAAAAGTGGAATTTATTTGTTAAATATATTCCATTTTTCCTTATATTGCTTTGTTTTGAAAAAAAAAATGCCACATCTCACTTGAAAAACTCACGCGCTTTAAAGGTTGTAAATTTGATGTAAATATGATGTAAGTGTCCAAAATTCTGAGTGCATAAATTTAATGGAAATCATTTACGTCTTTGGACACTTACATCGCATTTACATGAAATTTACAACCGTTAAAGCGCGTGATTTTTCCAGTGTCTAGTACCAATGAACATGCAAATCCTTTCGAATGTGCTAATACTTGCTTGTAAATACGAAAAGGGAAGCATATTCTGACTATTCTGACTTGGCAAATCACCCTGAAGCTCATATATTAAAACTAGATTCGTTTAAGCTCACCTGCATCTGTAAAACTCGCTCTGTGATTGGTAGAGCTGCAGCAGTGTGACCTGCGTTGCCAAGAAACTGAGCCAGTTCGTAAACGTACGGAATTGCCTGTGAAGAATAGTAATGGAAATTGCATTAGTATATAATTCTATTTGAATAAAGATATCAAGAGGATGTCATAAATTTACTTTTATGTGTTTATATGTTTACAAATATTTTTACGGAAAGTTTATATGATGACATAGCAGACGATGGAGCGTGAAAAGACTGTTTTTGTCTTTTATTGTTATGTTTTGTTGTATTTTTTTTTCGTGGTCATCATGTAGCAGGTTATAATACTACTTYCAAGAATCGTATTGATTAATTGTCCATGACTGTTATAGTTCCAAACAGTTACAATGAATTTAACAAGGCCAGATCCAGAGGGGGTAGTTAGATATTTATGCGCGCCATTTTCGGGGGCTCAAAAATGAGGAAACACATATTTTGTTCGAAAAGACATCAGAAAAAGTGAAATCTCAATGGAAACCATTCTCTAAAAAACGAAAACAGCATTTATTAAAAGGAAATTTCATTCAAAGCCCTAAAGCTACATCAAATAATTTTCCTTCAGTTTGTCACCTCTTGGTAACGTTCTGGACCAACCACGCGTGCTAAGACACTGATATCAGTGACATAATGGGCCGMATGTAGTCATTTACCTTTGTCAAGGGATAATTGCCACTGTGTCCCTGCTCAATGCCTTCATTATAAAACAGCGTCAGCTGGTCATCRATAACTTTAGTATGTCTATCAACGATCTCCTTGCCTGACAAASCCGTACAGTTCCAGTAGTTGATCAAGTCATACATATTTTCACCACTGCCGTGAAAAGAAAAACAAAGAAATGTATTGCTGTGCGGTTAAAGGAGTGAAAAACACCAAGACCTAGTTCAAAGTTTAAGTGCGAATTGTGGAATTCATACTACTTGCAGAAACGTTGTCATAGAAAATAGAACATTTGAAATTAGTGAAAAAGGAAAGAATTGAAACAAGACAAAAGAGTTTGTTCCTTTTTACTAAATACAAATGTCCTATTTTCTATGACAACCTTTCTGCAAGTAGGTGTATACTCCTCGGGTTGTGTATTCTTTGGTTTTATGCAACTTGGTTCTTAGTTCAGTCGATCATTTGTCGCATCTTATATAATTGCTGGATTTAGTTTATTAGCAGCCATACTCTGAATTCATTGACATTGGTGCATTTTCCTACGTTGGAAAAACTCAACATAATCTGTAAAGATCAACTAATTTAGACAGAGCAAATTGTTCATGAACTACCGTGCACGTAATTAGATAAGGCGAAGCATCAACGTCTGATCAGGCTGATCAAGATCAACGGGCTGATCAAGATCAGGCTGATCAAGATCAACGTCTGATCAGGCTTTACCTTCTAAGCGAATAGAACATGGGAGGTTTTAGAAGGCATGCAATCAGGCTTTACCTTCTAAGCGAATAGAACATGGGAGGTTTTAGAAGGCATGCAATCAGGCTTTACCTTCTAAGCGAATAGAACATGGGAGGTTTTAGAAGGCAATTAATCAGGCGTTCTTTATCGTCTAACTTCTTCAGCAGGTAAGGCAGTTCCATATAAACCCTTTCAGGAATGGTTGTATTGTAGAGATCACTCCGTTCCTTTTGAAAAAAAAGCAAATCACAGTAAGAACTACCTACTTAAAGCAGCTAGAGAGAAAAGGTTTTCAGGTGCAAAAGAAAACGGAATTGTGAATAAAAGCATCATACTGTCCATGAAATAGAGCGGATTTTGGATTGACTATGCAACGGCACGGACATAGCATGGTACGGGCACAGAAACTCGCCTTCTAGTGATTGCACATACGCATTGCCAAGAGACACTCCTTGTTGTTTTTGAGTTGACCAGGCAACTGTGCATGCATATTACTTTGATCTGACGTAGTCCTAAGGTGTCAGATGAAATCCCTCGACAATCGTGAAATGTGGTATAAAGCACGATAAACTTAGTATAAGTTCTTATCATATAATTGTTTATAAATATATTTCATATTCTATATTTTTCCATTTCGTAAAGTTGTTATTTTCACGTGAAAATAACACATTCGTAGTTTCTATATGTAGTGGAAGTGAGAAGTAAAAAGGTATTTTTCGACATAATTTGCTTTCATATGTAATTATATGATAAACAGAATATTACATGGTTGTTTGGAGATACGAATTTTATGTTCGAGTGTTAAAAAGATCTCTCACGAGTGCAGCGTATTAATCTTCGCGCACCCATGTAATATCCTCTATATATTACTCCATTTCGTAAAGTTTTCAATTTTCACTAGCGAAATATAACACATTCGAGGTTTCTCTATATAGTGGAAGTGAGAAAAAAGGTATTTCAAGACATTTATTATATAACAAGAAAAGTTAAAATGATTTGTTTTATTTAAAAATGACATACAAGGCAAACCCTGCTACCCCAGAATGGTTACCATCGAGCTTACCTTTAGCTTTGCTTCGAAATAATCAGCGACAATCCCTATGTATCTCGTTTTGTTTTCGATGTCCTCCAAGTAACGTTTCGAAACAGCTGAGCCAAGCTCATCGTATGCAAAGCTGCAAAACAAATATAACTTTCGATTCAATTCAGTTTAATTACTAGACATTTACCAGCCGAGAGACAGCTGCATTTGGCTTAAATTAAAGTGTGTTTGTTATTAAACCACTAATAATAGTGTACATCATGGTGTTCCGTTTGGCAGTAGTATGRTTGGTACCAAATTAACTTAGGTTGAACAGGCGCACCGCTAATATGATGACAGGAAGAGTTGGAGAGGTTAGTAGAGGAAAGAGGTTTGCCGAGGTGACATTGCGGAGGTTTACGACGAGGAGATGCAGAAGATTCTTCAATGACAATCTTTCTTCAGTACAATTGATTGGCAATCCTAAAGTACTTGATAATTTTTTTTTCCTTGGCTTGGATGGTGGGCCCCATGTTCCTTCCCCATCTCAGCCTATCATCGGTAGACGCATAAGATCCTCTCTTAGGCTTAGCACTTTAYTTTAATTATATACCTGTAAAGCCCATTGCTTTCTGTAAGAAAGTCATCCATTGCAAAGAACACTGATGACCAGGCTTGATTGGATATGTTCAGTATTGATTTGATTTCACTCTCAGACAGACCCTGTCTTGATACATGGATGCAGCACATTATCTGGAAATGGTGAAAAAACTTATACTTACAGTTCAAAACACAATACTCTTGATTTGAGAGATCTTATTTGTGCAGCCTTAACCTCGAAAGTATGTAATATATTCATTTATTCAGCAGAGATCCTATTGTAATGGTATCAGGTTATTTCGCACAAGAGACCGTTCGCACAAGTCGTTTCGCCCGAAGTTTCGGACCGTTCGCACAATTCTCATATCGATGGATAGTCATTTCGCACAGAAAATAAAACGCCTCAAAGAAAGATACGAAAGATATATCAATCTACTCTAATAATATATATCACTTTTGTAATGCAAGCACTCTGTCAACAAAGAAGACAATAAATATGTATGTTTGTTTGAACCTAAGCTTACATAAAAGAGAATTAGAAACTGGAGTATTTCAACATTCCTGTTGAATGAAATACGGAGACAAGCCTTCAAGGAAAAAAGTGCTGAAAGAGCAATTTGTGAGAGTTAAAATACACTTACTTGAAGAAAAGAGATGTTTTTAATTAGGGAGAAAGAAATCAACGTTCTCATCTGCCTAGAACTATGATTCACAATTGATTTCTCCTGACTAAGTTGGTCGACCCTTGCAGTCCCACAAATCAATTGCATTAATAAATCATCGTAAATCGTTAATAACTACCTCCTCGGTCATGTTGCCATCATAATCGTCAGGATTGTAATCTTTTTCAAGTCGTTCCAGAAATTTAAGAAATAACCCAACGGTGCTGCGGTAAGATAAGATGTAAGTAAATGATTGATTGTTTCTTGAAAGTCTAGAAGCTCGGCGAACAGTTGCAAGGGAACTCGAAGAAAGCCAGGCAATCAACATTTTCCGTCAGTCTCTAGCTAGATGKGGAACGTTTTACAATGTTGTGTCATTTAAGTTTATTTGGTGCAGCACATCCATTCAATAAAGTAACAACAATTACGCAAAAATCATAAAAAGCAGCACCAAGCTGGTTGGAAATGAAACATCAAAACCGACGTAAACCATAAATCATGCAAAATTGAACTTACTCGTTGGCTTGGATAAGACTGTCGATGTACTTGTCCAACTGGAAGAATTCACCAAAGCTAACGAGTTCCTAGAGAAACGTAGTATATTAGCTACTATAGAAGCACGTTTTAAGTTGTATGTTCTCTCCTTGGTAGTGTTTGTTTATAGCAATGAAATTCTTTGGTAGGTCGTAGGCAATGTGGAAATAAAGTGGATAAAAAAGATAAAGAAAAACCACTACAAGATTTAAAACGGCGCAGCACCTTCWATCTGTAAGATGTTCTTTCAAGGTAACCAAAAAAACAATGCAATATCAACTGCGCAATATTTATCAGGAGGGGGATTGAGAATCCAGAGGGATGGGGGGAAATCTAATTTTTTGTGCTTAAAGAGGGGTGCATCGTCTAAAATTAAATAAAGCTTTAATTGGAAACCGAAAACTCAACGGTGTCAGATTCTGTTCTTTCTTGCCAAATACGTATTGAAGTGGAAAACTTCTCAAGAAAAACGAGCGTGCCACGATTTGCGACAACTTTTTATTTACGAATGATAAATGTAACTTTTTTTTATTTTTTGCTTCATTTCTCAAACGCCCCCCCCCCCTCCCCCTCCTGATAAATATTGCGCAGTCCCTTAATGCCAATGTAAAAAGAGGAGTATTAATTTGCTGCAAACTTTCCCTTTTTTTCAAGACGACATATTCTCGTTATACATCCGMCTCATTCAACCTATATATTCATACAGCCTGTCAATGAAATGGCACCCCATGACTTATTGATCAGCTTTTCAACATTAAATCTCATTGTTTACCTTCAGCAATGTCTCCAAGTAAAGTGGGTTTTCAGTTTGTTGTTTCTGGAATATTTTATTTCGTTGTTCAGTTGAAAATGTCTTTCCTCGTTTCTTTAATGCAGCCTGCCGCACAAAAACAAATTAATTGACACATGATATTATATTTTAGGTAGAGCGAAGGGGTTTGGTGTTTGTGGTGCGAGCTAGGAACCGGATTAGCTTGGATTTGTGATGAATTATACTCGTCGCATGTGAAGTTTGACGTAAATACGTGCCCTAGTATATAATCATCATCTTACCAAAGCCATYTCTTCGCGTTCTTTAATGTCCAGCGGTTTCATTGTAATCACGTGACAATCCCTTTCTTTGAGTTCTTCCACGCTCTCTTTGTCCGACATAAGCGTGGATAAAATAAAGTACACATTGTCTGGTAAGTCCTTGGGCAGCCAGTATAAAGGCTGAAACATATCAAAACAAATCATGATTTAGTGTAATCTTCACGTGAATTTGACTCTCAAAGAACTGTATCCACCCGGGGTCCCTGGGCATTTTATTTTTGAGCATTCTTTAGCAAATATATGCCATATATGGAAACAAACAAGACGGCCAATTGTTCAGAAGTCTTTTTGCTATAATATCTGCAAGTTTCGAACGATTTCAAAATTTAAGAGTCGAGAAAATCGTCAAAACTCAGTCCACACGTACTCTTCCAAATAAGGTAAGATTACCGCCATATATGCCTGCCGAACGACAACTTTTCTGAGGCAATCCTTTGATATTGAAGTTATAAATAAGTGTTCGATATCCTCATGTTATAAAATGAATTACGGTGCAAGCTTTATAATTATAACATTGCGGACAACTCGATTCTTTCTGCAGAAAGGTTACTCCTGAACATGAAGCTTAATTATATAAAAAACACTTGAATGAGAGAACTGGTTAAAATTAAACGTTGAATGAAGTGAGAGTGACTGGTTAAGAAGTCTTAATACAGCTTCGATAAAAATACATGTYTATATCACTGCAATATTTGGAATGTATCTCAGAAGCTCATCGAATGTATGGACAATTTTTGAACAGTGGGAATCATAGAAAGAATGAATAAAAGTAGAAAAGGCAAAAACTCCTACTTTCATAGTTTGTCCAGATTCCTTGACTTTATTCAAAGCATCRATGATRATGTACGCTTTACATCCCTCAGTCTTGACTCTAGACATCAAACCGTGTAGTTTTCTAACCAAATTATGGACTTCGTCATTCTTGCTTGACTTAAGGCTTTCATCTTGGACGACTTTCTCGCTGAGCTGGTCATGAAGCTCATCAACMAGTCGAGTAAGAATGATTCTAGGATCTATAGAAAAAGAACATTGATAACACTATCATTAATGCAGAGAAGAGAACACGTCAAATACGCTCACTCATGAGAGATCTTTTCAACACTAGAAGATCCGTATTCCCGCGCGCCCATGTTATATTCTGTTTATCATATAATTATCAATGAAAGCAAATTACGTTTTAAAATAACTTTTATTACCTCCAATATATAGCTAGAGATACCACGAATGTTATTTKCAGTAGTGAAAATAACAGCTTTACTTATAATGGAGAAATATAGATATGTTATGGATGTTTATATGACAAATAGAAGTAACTAAACAGTGCTTACCTCGACCTCCACTGGTTGATCCAATGAAATGGTAGACCACGATAGCATCAGGGTTAATTGACTGTTGATGAGTGATCCAGTTGCTCAAGAAGCATGACTTACCACTACCTATGATATGAAACGATATTATAATGGCACTCAGACGATCAGGGATTTTTAAGGAGGTGGTTTTATCTATCTATTACCTTTTGTTATTTTATCGTTTATTTTTATATTTATTTGTGTTTTAGTGTGAATTATTGAAATCGATTGATGCTCTCATGTACCAAACTTGCAAACATCATCTCATCAGACAAGGACTGGTGGATCTATCCAAAATGCACCAAGTCAGAGCATGCGTAGAACTAATGTCTAACGTACGTAATTTTCAACTRATATAGCAAGCATTTCATGCAAATCAAGATCCTGCAAGATACCTGCACTCCCAAGAATCAACGCGGTCTTAGTCTTCCCATGGTCATCAGCGTTCGTCAAAAACTTATCAACCATATCAAAATACTTRTCTCCACCCACATAGACTCCGCCCATTCCAAGACGACTAGCTAGAAAGACTTCATGTTGGAGATTTTCCTCGTCACGTGGTGTRAGCTGGAGACTGGGTCTAGCTAGTAATACGTCATTAAAGTACTTCTCTATTGTCTCGAACATTAAACGAGCTCCTTCTTTAGGATTGGTGTAGCTCATATGGACATCCAGACACTACATTGATAAAGTTAAAGAACCCGTTATAATTCTGTGAATTCATAGCTAGGCCTTATCAAAAGTACGGCTGACTTTTGTAAGAAAACTTCATGCGATGCRCAAAGGAAAGTGTGCAACTTTGAGCTTGCTTTGGAAGGGGTTGAATTTTCTAGTGCGAAGACTACACTGACAACTACCATCGYGCTATATTTGCTGCACAAAATGACTCGCTGTACACGCCCATTGAKTCTACGTACAAGATTGACCTGTTAGCTTATAGGACAATTGTCCATACAGGGAGAGTACCTTATCTTTAGTTGCAGCTATTCTTTGTTTCAAGTCATCCAGCCTCTCGGCCGCATGGGGACCGTCCGTGGACGCGAYAAATTTCCTGATCTCCCTTTCATCGCCTTTTTCCYGTGCGTCTTTCAACTTCATGTCATCATAAGCCTTGGACGTTAATGAAACAAATTAAAAATTAAAAATTATTTATTGGTCTTAAATAATCCACTCTTGACTAACGAATGACGTCAGGAACCTTTTTACAGCTATTTCAGAAAACGCTGAATATGTGCAACTATTTAAAAAACGTTGTCGTGGAGAGCGGCAAACGACGATTGTGGAAGGGAGAATGCACTACCGAAAGGGACTATGGTTACACCGTTTATACAAACAAACCYTCACTTATTGGATTTAYCTTGCATAGAAATGGAGACTAAATGGAGCCAATGTTTAACAAAAACTATATATTACAGCGTAAATCGGTTATTTCTCATCAACAACTAGCAAAACCCATGGTTACTTTCGGTCGTGCAATCGCCGTTCGACAATTGAAATTCGCCATTTTATCCGACAAMCKTTTCTAAATTAGGTATATACTGAAGATAGATAGACCGTTGAAAAGGAGAATTCATGTGGAATGCAATATGCAGTATTCAGCTGTATTCGGAATTCAACTTTGTTTGAAATAGTATTTTATATTTACCTTATCTCTAAAGAAGAAGCATGCGGCCCTCGCCCCAGGATTCCTCAGATGTCCGTGTAGGTACTCTAGTTCAGTGACGCTCTTCTCTCGRTATTCATTCAACCATGGGTAGTACTCGGCTGCAACGTCAAAACTTTTCTGAAGTAACTCATTGTCACCATGCCAACCATATCGCTATGACAATCAGAAAGTATCAGATATGAGTCTATCGCAATGGACGACTTAGCCCTCCATAGCCCTCTTATTCATCCCCCTGCTTAAGACACTGCTGTTACAATGCTCAATAGGCCTTTTGCATAAAACAGTCACGTGGTACTGAATCCACCATACTGGTTGATATAATACCCACTGGGGTGTTCGGAAAAAAAAGAAAAGTCAATCTTGACGGTCTGCGTTTCTTTTTTTTTTTAATTGTTTACATTCTTTTGCCCTCCATAATGGCGAATTTAGAACCATGTGACCGTTTCATGCAAAAGGCCTCTCTGCAACTTAACTCGCAACGAAGTTGCTTAAGATTCACGCTGATGTATTTCTTGTATACAGAAAAGACAAAAAACTATCTGCATGCACTCTCAAGTGCGCAAATTGAACTGAAGTACATAAATTTGAGAAACGTTTTAACAAATGAAAAACATCCTTTTTGCCATCATGCTTTGTCCTGCAATATGGCGTCATTGAACATTGCAACACAACGGAATACCTGTCCAAAGAATCCAACTATCATATCAGATCTATCCATCTCATTCAGACACACTTTGATTGTAACAGCACTGGATGACATCTCRGAAGTAATTCCCCATCTCAGGTCAACAGGGATGAAATCATAACCTGCGCGGTTACACATACTCTCCAGTTGCGGCCAGTATTTCTTTGTGAGTTCTTCTCTTTCCTCTTCAAGACCACCAAAAGGAGAGCTGAAGAAAACACGAGCTGTCTTTCTCTCGAGCTTTTGACGACGTTTCTGAATTCATGAATGGATAGAATGAGACTAATTTTCACGAAATGAATTAAGGCAAAACAAACTGARATGTGAAAGGAATTGGGAATTGAATGCATGCTTTTGTAACTGAATAAATAATAAACGATGTTTGATAACTGAATCCAAATACACGCGAGCTGTCTCTCTTTCGAGCTTTTGACAACGTTTCTATGACAATGTGGTTCAGAATGAATTAAAGCAAAACAAACTGAATGAAATGTAAAAAAAATTGGGAATTGGATGAGTGCTTTTGTAACTGAATGAAAAATAAACGATGTATAATAAAACTATAGATGAATGAAAAAAATTAACGATGGAGACTGTTGAAACTATAAAAAAATGACTAAATAAGTGAATTACGGAAAATGCCGCACGGATCTCTATTCACATCACGGATTTTTGTTAACAGCATGAAATGCTTTTGTTTTTGTTTRACTTTCTCTTTCTTTTTCTTGATGTTGTTTTGTATTTGTCGTTTTCTATTTATTCATTTTTTTTTCAGAGCCATAGGTGATATTAAATCAACTCGAAGGAATGACTGTAGTTCATACAATAAAATAATACACCGGAACCAGAAGTACATAACCAGAATGGTTATGTACTTCTGACCGGAACCAAAACAACCAAAACAAAACAGAAAACAACATGAATAAGTCAATTTTTAATGAGTGGATTCAAAACACAGGAATCCCARATGCCATCGAAATTCTAAATTCCTTTCAGCATGTTTTTAAAAACCTTAGTGCGTTATTTTTTCCTCCCYGTTTGAAACCTTTTGCTTTGTATTTATGCTGGAATATCCTTTAGATTCCCCTCTACTACAAACTATGCTTTGCTAAAGTAGCTTACATGTAATATAAAGTTTCATGGTCCACTGGTTTCGGTATATTATTCATGTCGATCGTAGTCATCGTTACTTAGCATAGATGGTTTTGAAAAAAACTTCTGAGACGAAACTAGTGTACATTAAACATCATGTTATAAGTTACAACTACTTATAACTTTTGTTTTTTGGGAATTATTTCAATTTAAAACTAACTGAACTACAATATATATAGCTGGCAATAATATTAAGTGATTTTGTTTAATTGAAAACTTACCTCTTGTTTTGAAGTCATGTTTGAAGTTCTTTCGATCTCACCTGACAATGTTTTCGCCGATTTATTTTCAAAACTTATAGTCAGGATCTCCTCTTGATGCCTTACTATAAAGACATGTTCTGTTTATAACTAACAACAGCGAATATTTTATGCTTTGAATCGTAAATCACCAAATTGATAAAGACTTCAGCGGCTTTAGAGGTAAGAATCAGTGTCAAGACCTGTGGTATCTGCTTTCGACTCGTAAWTTTGTGTAAGGGTTAAACTCCTTGAAGGTCTGAGGTTACGGTAGTGCTTCAGATGGGAGCTACTGGAATCTACTCGTTACGTTGTTGTGTGACAAATATGTCGTGTAGTGTTATGCAAATTATTTCAATAAGTTTGTCCGCGGAACCGACGTCAATCGCATTAAGGAGGCTTACACAGTTTATTTGTAAAMGTTTGTTTGTTTTGCTCGACTGGTCCAGTTAATAAGACAGTAACGCCCCTAGCTAATCTGAGTTGACTTTTTACTGTTTTTTTAGCATGAACATCGTTATTGAAACAATTAATGAACGTTTATTATCGATAATCCCGGCTAAACCAGCTGTCTTATTCTTATATCGATCAAAAATTAAGGACTCGTCGTTTCAAGAAAAGGAATTAAGAGGGTCTCAATGGGGGGGTCCGTATCACGACTCACGGCTAAAAAATTGACTTTTTCACGCCTCACGGCTAATTTTTTTCTCATTTTCACGACTCACGGCTAATTTTTCAGCCGTTTCACGGCTATTTTTTCTCATTTTTACGAGTCACGGCTAATTTTTTAGCCGTTTCACGACTCACGGTTAACCCCATTGAGACCCTCAATTAACACTAGTGATGGCCGACTTAAGTTTTTATAAGAAACAAGAAACAAACGAAAAGAAAAAAAAGAAAAAAAAAGGAAAAAAAAAGCAAGCAAAAAAGAGAAATTCCAGACTCAGGGCTCGAACTCAGAACTTTCACTTTAGGAGAAGATGTAACCCCCCCTGACATACATAAAGAATAATTAAAATTAAAAATTAAAAAGATGGGACGATTCCCCCGAGACATTCTACGAAGCTGAGGCGTCGAATCGGCTTACGTTACGGTTAGAGWTTTCGGCTCTTCCACGCTATCCCGAGTGAACATAAAACTTAGTCTTAACCAAAAGGCCAGGGAGTGAGGGGGTAGCCACCCACTAGAGCATACCTTTAGCTACCCTCTTAGACCATCGTACTATGTAGACACTTATAGATATCTAATATCTAATTGGGGTAGTCTATTCGGTGAAGTTCTATGCTAATATATGACGTCACCAAAGTCCTTAGGGAGCAGCGAGCCAATCAGAGCTCAGCTTAGGAATAAGCAAACGTTTTGCATAATCATTCTTCAGTAGATTTATTATTTGATGGGGGTGGGGATGGGGATGGGTGATGGTTTGCGACCGAATGCCGATGTACTCGATGTAATGTGACGCTTTTCAAATGTCGTTATTGTTTTCCAAATCATCACAGTTCTTATATCAGTCAGACATTACTAGAATTGGGATAAACAGCACGACAAAATCTCTTGTAGTTTTTAACGKTTGCGGTTTACAGACCGGGCAGAGACAAAGATTTTCCGGGATTCAACGGAACACRATTGAAGACCTCTGAAACTCAAACATTACACTCAAACGTTCCACATTTTCAGTCAATGTCAGATACATAAAGATGTCTTTGACTACAGCTAAATAAAAGTTCAAAAATCTCGMCCTATGTCGTGGATAAAAAATATTTTCGAACCTTTTCGACGTATATGCATGTTTACTGTAGGCAAGGGAAACAGGGCGCCCTGCGTCAACTCCCAAAGGGAAGAATGATCAACCATCACAATAGGTTCCTTGGCCCCTGGGAATCGCCACTTGGTGTATTTATAGGCAACACAATGGTTGATCGCAACTTAATGCTTCCAGAGAAAGTGTAAATTGTTAGGGTTATTRTATTTACAACATTTTCTCGTGATTCTTTTAAATCTGGTAAGGCTTTTGCGCAAGAGAATCTGTTGTCATATGAAACAGCGGTTATGTGACTTATATCCGCTTTGAAGTTAAAAATGGAGTATTCAGAAAACGTTAAAGCTAGATAGAGAAGGATTCCAAAGAGACAAATGCATCGTGGGTCTTTTTATCACCGTTCAAAGGAGTTTTCATGGTTTCAGTGTGACTACCAGATCATTCAGGCTGCAGTCAAGAACTTCCACATGCAGACTTCGACTKAATTTTCTTTTTACTTTTTATACATTTTTCTTAAATATACTTGTTCGGTGTTAGGAAAGCGTAACGAGCGGACATGACTTTTTGAACTCTACAAAATGACCAAAGAAGTGAAAGCACTAAAAAG